CCCCCTACCCACCCACCACACACACACACACACACAAAACCCCACCTGCTTTTTGTAAAATATTTCAGTTTTTGGTAAAACGTTTTGATTTTCAAAATAAACACACACAAAAACCCCACACATTTTTATCAAAACCTGAATTTTTGTTTTACCATAGACTGTGATTTGGTTCAAAAATTTAGTTAATTGTTTTGTTACTCTGAACCTTTCCCCTGATCTTTTTGTAGTCACAAAGCCCTTTGGACTGTAAATTCTCTCATATAGAAGAATTACCAGAAATCATAATATGTCCTATAATTAAGCTGGTTAAAAACATACAGGTCCAACAGGACCCCTCATGTTGCTCCAATAGCAGAACTAGGCCCTGCAGCTGAAGGAGTTTCCCCAGTGTAAGGCAGATCCCCAGCATGGCAGAGAGCTGTTGAAATAGCTCTTAGCAACCAGCCTTGAGTAGGACATGTGCTAGGAAGGAGGAGAATGACATAGCTTTGGTTAGTTCCAGTCCCCAGGATATCCCCTATATGGCCACTACATCTGAGTGTAGATAACTACCCTGTGAAGCTACTTCAGCTTGCACTGGAGCCCTCAGACTATGTGAAGGGGCAAAGATGGCTACTGTTTTCCTTCACAACCAGCCCATTCCTGCCCCGCAAGTGGTCTTTGGGAAGAAAACAGAATCTGACACATGCTTCCCAAATGGGGGGGTGGGTGTGTGGGCGGGGGTGTGTGTGTGTGTGTGTGTGAGAGAGAGAGATCCTTCTTCCATTCAGGTTAATGGAACTCCCATGGGAGCAGCATCTGGCCTCTAATGGTATTATTTCAAAGCAGCTGCAGGAAAACTTGTGCCGAGTTTGCAAGTAGTGGTGCTGTCTCAATGTAATGATAAGGGAGGAGCTTTTCAAAAGCAGAGCTGGCAGTTAGTTTGGGGCATAAGCTTTCGTGGGTATCTGAAGAAGTGAGGTTTTTAACCCACGAAAGCTTATGCCCAAATAAATCTGTTAGTCTTTAAAGTGCCACCAGACTCCTTGTTGTTTTTGTGGATATAGACTACCACGGTTCCCCCCTGATACTTTGCAACTACAAAGCTCACCATCTCTGCTATGAATCTGAACCTCAATGAATTGAGCTCATGTCTGTATGTATATTGATCTTTTAACCATACTCGCTCTCTCTTTCGTTTAATACATTTTAGTTTAGTTAATAAGAATTGGCTGTAGCGTGATTTGGGTAAGATCTGAAACATTCATTAACCTGGGAGGTGATGTGTCCGATCCTTTGGGATTGGTAGAACCTTTTCTTTAATATGATGAAATAAGATTTACAGAAATTTTCATCATATTTGACATGGGTACCTGGATGGAGACCTGAGGCTGGATCACTTTAAGGGAACTGTTTTGTTTGAATTTCTGAGTAATCAGTAAGGTAATAAAGAAACTGTTTTATTCTGGCTTGGTAAATCTAAGTATTGGAATATCCACTAGCTTTATGATGAGTGACCATAGCGGAACCCCGGTCACAGTGATATTGACTGCATTAAGATTTGCACTTTTGTGGGCATGTCAGCAATTCCTGGTTGTATCTTTAACCCAAGAAAAAGTATCATTACTAAGAATCACACTCTTCACCCCACCCCACCACTCTACCTGCCTTCTCTGGCAGAATGAATAGATTTGGGCAAACAAATTATATTTAGTGTCTGGTAAGTTTACACTAGGACACATCCCCCTCCAACCAAAGAATGGAAAAAAGAAGCTAAGGGGAAAGATCTCTGTATTCCTTTCCACCATCATGTAGCCTACAAGAGTGCTGATAACACACTCCTATGTACCATAAGGCTTTCACTTCCAACACCAACAGATGAGAAAAGGAAATATGAACTCTCAGTTTAATCAAACTGCATTCTAATCCAAAAATCTTACCAGTGACCTCATCTGTTTTACATCAGCAGATCTGATTGGCTCACATTCTGTGCATTTGGGAAATTATGCTACCTGAATACTGATGAGGTCTCTGGTAAGGTTTTATATTAGGGTGGGGCACATGGTTGATTATTTGATCAATTTAGGAAGGGGAATAACATGGATGTATTTCTAAATGCTTTTGAGGTGGGGTCTGAATTGAATAAAGTGGGAAGGACGACATGGTCCAGTATCTGGCTCTATTACTATCAGGGACAATGGCCTTGGACATTTTCATCCTCGT